TTTTTTTGGCAGGGGAGGTTAGAGGATAAAAGGGGTTTTGGGAACTCGCAAAAACACCGGATAAAATTGGGGGAATGTCATTTTAAAAAAAAAAAAAAAAAAAAAAAAAAAAAAGGAAAAGAAATCATGTACAATATACCGTACCTGCAATTATATATATGAAATAGAATATATAATGGGCAGGATTAAAGTATAAAGTTGAAATTCAATAGCAAAGCATAATTAATCAGTGAAAATAAGAAATGGCAAAATTGCATTAGTTCAAGTTATCATATCATAACTCTATCATCAAGGCATAGAAATTCGAAACTAGGAAGACAAAAGTATCACACTGATGCTTTTATTCATATGCGTTCTTACGAAAGCATGAATTAAAGACCTATTATAAATCACACTAGTTTGTCCTAACACATCTGAAATTTTTTCGGAAAAAATTTTATCTCAAAATATGGTAAAAACATTCATTAACTGTGTTGCCACGATTTTATTTATATTATGCCTTCGTATTAGCTTCAGGTCCGACGCAGCTCCACTGCCCGAAGGCTGCTCAATCCCGTGTGCAGAATCAATCAAGAAACCCGCACTACCAGCACTTCCAGCAACATGTGCTCCTGCTGTTATCAAACCGCCCCCCATTCCTGGTGCGCCTTGTGTCTCTGCACCCATCGCTGCTCCCCCTGCTGCTCCTCCAGTGGCACCTGTTGTAGGAGTCCCTAATATCGTACCGCCAAGCCCGGGTGTTCCTTGCGCACCAGCACCAATTGCAGCGCCAGCCGTCAATATTCCGGCTCAACCAAGACCTCCGGCCCCAATTGCGCCCCCAATAGAAAATTTTACTCCTCCCGTAGCACCACCAGCTCCGGCCATGATCAAACCGCCCATTGCTAATATTGAAGCACCTGTTGCTCCAGTCGCTCAAAGACCACCGGCTCCGATTGTTCAACCCATCGTTGCACCAGCAGTTGCGCCAGCAGTACCCGCAGCAAAACCATGTCCCATATCGCCGGCCAAACCCTGCACATGTCCAGTCACTCCCGCGGTTGCAGCACCATCACTTCCATCACCTCCATCTTGTAATGGACTTTCTAACATTGGCGCAGGAATTGGAGTCGGGGGACTTTGCGGTGATTGTGGCGGATTTCGTGGACTAGGTGGACTAGGTGGGCTCGGGCTCGGTGACATTGTTTAAATATTGATGTCATCTAAAATAATGCTTTCATTATACATATCATTCGGAAATGTAATTAAAAAAAGGTGCAGAAAAAACCCCCAACGATTGCCTAGAACAATATGTATTTAGGATAATAAAAAACTACTTTTTTTTTGTGAATTAAAGAAAAAAAAAAAATAGGATAGAGTGTCTTACACATTTTGTTTCATATTTACCGTTTTGACGACACATTCCATAATATCACGTGAAGAACCCAATGACCACGCGTTTTTTTTTCGCAAACACGGGTTGGTCAAATCAAACCCAAACAAGTATTATTATTTTCGTCCGAGTATAATGACTCCAATTCCCGCCGGAAAACCTTTGAATCATTATTATTCACATGCAAGGGAAAACGATGTCATCCACCAAAGAGATGAATCTCGAACAGCGATTCTCCTCTTGATCTATGTGCATGAATATAAAACTTCTGTTTTCCAATTGTTCGAATATGTTTGTTATCCAATAAATTTATGAATATAATCAGCCATAGTATAAATGAGTACACTTGAAAAAGACATTCTTACCCGTGTCTCTCCATAAATTCAAACCATTCAAATCGAGGCTTGATGTTTGTATGTGGATTGTAAATTTTCATGCCCCGATGTTCAAGGTTCAAACAGGTTCCAGTTAACCTAAAGCATGCGTATTAAAGCTGAAAACCGAAAGACTATTTTCGTCTGCATCGAGTGAAGAGCAGATTTACGGACTCATTTGGATGGTCTTGCTTACTGTAAATCAATACAACAGAGTGATATTGAGTGATTAGACGTCGGCAATCACGACCTCCCATAAACACAATTATATGAAAGACGACTGAAAAGAAACCGCGAAATTAGAGAGAGATACTCCATCCAGTCACAAAAAGGTCTCTTCGAATTCTTTTTTTTTTTTTTTGATTACGCATACGACTAGAAGGACCACTCGAACTTTGAATCGCTGACTTTCTTTTAATCGTGCAGACAGAGAACCAATTTTAATTCGACTAATCCTGAGCTGCAGTGTCTTACAGAACTCAACTTGAATTGAAAATTTTCGGATGAAATATTGAAGAATCAGGTATTAGCGTTCGCTGTCGTTTGTTTAAAGTTTCTACCTGAGAAATCATCACCTCGTAAAAATGATTAGTCCAGTTCAGCATTGTTCTCGAACTTACATCTGTTTAGAAATATCTTTCTCTTCATGCGTAAACTTTGACCACCAGAATCAAGTTCAGGCCGTCTCATTCATTGTATTCATTTGAAATGTTTTTAAAGAATAAAAAATTAGGTGTCGGAGATTATTGACTACAATATTTTGGGAACCATATCCCGTTTAGGATCGATAAATAAAGTTAATACTCTGCTGAGGCATAGAAATGTGGATTGATGGATTTTATTTTACTTTTACAGTTCGGAGCCCAACCCATGAGCCACATTTTATAAATTTTAACTATTATATGGATGCAATTTTCAATGAGGATTTGCCGTCCGTCTTTTCTTGAACAAAAAAAAAAAAAACAAAATTAAATTAAAAAAATTAAATTAAAAAAAAAAATTAAAATTAAAATTAAAAAAAATTTTAAAATTAAAATTAAAACAAAACAAAAAAAAAACTGGTATAATAGCTAACCACCTTAATTTACGAATTCCATGAGATCTTCAGCGTGACCTCTTTTAATATACTGTAAGCAGAATGAACTATAACAAGAAAATTAAATAACCAATGGTTGTATACTATTTTGACTTTAGATTCCCAAACACAATCACAATTTTCAGGTTCCGTAGACTCGGAAGAGTCAAACCGCGCATTTGTTAATCTTCTAGAAGAAAGGCTTTCTATTTCCATTTTACAATAGATCTTATAAAACATACCACACATACGATCGCATTGAAACAATATATCAATAAGATCAATAAGCGCAATTGTTTTTGCGCATAATAATGATAAAGAAAACAAATGATCTTATAAAGTAATAATAATATACTGTATCGTAAGATACTCCATACTGTATGTACAGCATATACTGAAATGTTAAACATGATATCTCGAATGATTTAATAATATTATTATAAAAAAACAATTTAAATTTCAATAACCTACCATTATAGAAGTTATAACAAAAGTTTTAGTTTTATAAAAAAATTAATATGCTATATACTGTATACTGTATATAAATAATATATCGCATAATTGATTATATTGAAAAAAATATTTACGAAAAAAAAAATTGTATATACAATATTCTATTAAGGCAATCCATTGTTTTTAATTTTAATTTTTATTTTATTTAAATAATAACAAAAAAATCCAGTTTTGATTAAAATTTGTTATACTTATACTTTATTTAATAAAAAATTATTTTAAAAGGTATCCATAATTAGATTGAGTTTGTTAAATTTGATCTTAAGAACAATATATTATTTCATATAAAACTTGGAGTAAAGATCTTTCAGTCCGTATATCATTGTCAACAAATTATCACTATCAATTATTCTATCAAGTCATTGAAATATAAAACTACAAAGTGTTTGATTAAAAAAAGATGCATATAAAAATTAGATACAGTATATGCTATAAAAAATAAAAAATAAAATTTTTTTTATTTGAAAAATTTATTTATTTTTGTCATAATTTCTTTTTATATACTACCTAAGGAACTCATCATCTTATAGAAACCTTTACTTCTAGGAATATATCTTATTCCAACTTGTCTTAAATAATAATTTTTATTCATTTGCAGATAAAAAGTCGAATTAGGTTTTGATTTTATTTATAATTTATGATATTACTATACATGCATTTCTATTTTTACAAATACAATAAATATTATTATCAATTAAATTATTAATATAAAATATTGTTATTTATTATTAATTCTTTTTACCTTCAATATAGTTATTAAAATATATTAAATTGATGCGTAAAAAAAAAAAAAAAAACCATAATTTCTTGAAATAACATTAGTCAATTTAAATTTAAAATGCTGTTGACACTAGTTTCGAAAATAAAGTTGCACTTCCAATACTTATTATTTACTATATATAAATCAAATAATTTATAATCTATATATAGTATTTAATTTAAAATAATATTATAACATATTACTATATCAATTATTTTATAGATACAAAAGAAGGTGCATTCTTTATTCCTAGTATACTTGACATATTCATTATACGTACTGCAGCATATTATTAAACTCGGTATATCCGATATGATCAATATATTTGTCACACCCATTGTACTTTTTTCTTATTTTCGTCAAACGTTTATATGATAGATCCTTTCTTCCATAACAATACAATATAATAAATTGAGAAATATAATAATTTACTTGTTTTAGGCATTGAGATTTTCACGAGAAACCAAAAAAAAATTTTTTTTTTTTTTATTTCAAGTACCATAAAAGATCAAATTAGAAAAAGTCAAATCAATATATAATTTGTGAAAATAATGTTGTTTCTTCGATAGGCCATAGAAAAAATTAAAATGATCACATAATTTAACTAAGTTATATATATATTTTTTTATTATATTCGAACAAAGAAAAGTTCCTATTTTAGAATAGCATAAAAAAAAAAGAGGAGAAGCCGCAGATGAAAAGTAAAACAGAAGTTAAAGGATGTTAATGCATTTTTATAGACAGCCAATTCTTTGTTAAATTAAGAATATATGGACTATTGTATGCAATATGGAAAATTCGATACCATACAATCCACATGTACGAATAACATTTATTCATTATGTTTATTGTTCTAGCACATGCAAATTCGTAATTAAGAATGACGTAAGGCATGGTTTGTATAGGAAAAAATTTTTTTTTTTTTTTTTTTTTTTTTTTTTTTTTTTTTT